CTATATTCTGTGATACGAAGTTAAACAAACAAACAAAACCAAAAAAACCCACCAAAAAACCACCACAACAAAACCCCACCAAACAAAAAACCCTCAACCTTTCCTGGACTGTTCCAAAGGGTCCTGCACTTCGGCCACAACAACCCCATGCAGCGCTACAGGCTTGGGGAAGAGTGGCTGGAAAGCTGCCTGGCGGAAAAGGACCTGGGGGTGCTGGTCGACAGCCGGCTGAACATGAGCCGGCAGTGTGCCCAGGCGGCCAAGAAGGCCAATGGCATCCTGGCCTGTATCAGAAATAGTGTGGCCAGCAGGAGCAGGGAAGTGATCGTGCCCCTGTACTTGGCACTGGTGCGGCCGCACCTCGAATACTGTGTTCAGTTTTGGGCCCCTCACTACAAGAAGGATGTTGAGATGTTGGAGCGTGTCCAGAGAAGGGCAACGAGGCTGGTGAGGGGTCTGGAGAACAAGCCTTATGAGGAGCGGCTGAGGGAGCTGGGGGTGTTTAGCCTGGAGCAAAGGAGGCTGAGGGGAGACCTCATTGCTCTCTACAACTACCTGAAAGGAGGTTGTAGCGAGGTGGGTGTCGGTCTCTTCTCCCAAGTAACTGGCGATAGGACAAGAGGAAATGGCCTCAAGTTGCGCCAGGGGAGGTTTAGATTGGATGTAAGGAAAAATTTCTTTACTGAAAGAGTGGTTAAACATTGGAACAGGCTGCCCAGGGAAGTGGTTGAGTCACCATCCCTGGAAGTATTTAAAAGACGGGTAGATGAGACGCTTAGGGACATGGTTTAGTGGGCATGGTGTTGTTGGGTTGACGGTTGGACTCGATGATCTTGGAGGTCTCTTCCAACCTTAATGATTCTATGATTCTAAAGGCATCTGGGACACTATTGCAGTTTGTCTTCATAGCGATTTGTGAAGTATAAGTGAAGGCACATGCTCTTTGAAAGCAAGATTCAGGTGGATAACATTAATGATAAGGTCTGTCATTCCAGGTTTCAAAAAAATGATAAAATGAAGCTGTACTTTTCAGAGTCCATCTGCAAGTGACTTTGGCCTGGGAACGTGGGGCCCAAGTTCTCTCTGATAGAAGCATATGTGATTCTCATCTGGTTCTTAAAATTACTCCTGTGTTGTTTCTAACTAAATGAGTATACAGAAGTTTCTTTTTAGATACAGCATATCCTTCGTGATCTTGCTACTCTGGAGTTTTGGTTTTTTTTTTTTTTTCAAAATAAAACTTAGAAAAGTGAGAGAAATAGACATTCTTGGCTTGTTCCAGTCATTAAACATAGAAGCATAGTTGCCAGCCAAGAAGCAGTTGTATTCTTGTACACTGGCTTCCTCTCAGACTTGCTTTCTGTTACCCTTTCAGGTCAAGTGAGCCACACATTTTTAGCATTTAATAGCAGCTATGGGGTTTTCCTGTCAGCCTTCTATATATGGACAAAAAATATAAAAATTAATATAAAGTTGGAGGCAATGTGTGTTAGGTGGGCATCACTTACATATTGCTAAATCTCTAGAAAATGTAAAAAAATGTTGGTAGGTTTACAACAGTCATGTATGCTATATCCCTCCTAGAAGGTGTAGCATTTTCATTGTAACTGGTTATTTTTTAGGATTCATTCTTAAAAACCTAGGGGTGTTAGGAACTCCTGATTTTGGTAAACCTGGTTGCTTGGTGCCTTTGTCTTTGTAATGCTCCAGGCACTTGCAGTTGTGCAGCATGCCCTTCCCCGGTAGCTCCGCACCCTTTCACCCAGGCCGCGGGCGTAGTGCCTCCAGGCCTCCTTGGCACTGCTTTCCCTGTGTTGGTCTCGGGTGGTTGCCCCTGTGGTGTTGTCCTCGTGGCCTTGCACATAGTGTCGTTACAGCAGGCTCTCTCAGGAATAATGGCCTGCAGTGTGGAAATCTCTTTTTCGCCCCTTTGGGTGTAGCTTTTGGTTTATGGCAGGGGATCCAGTAATGTGCGTGCACAGAGGTTAATGACTGGCAGGCTCTGACTCAGCAGCTGCCCTGATCAGCATGCACTTTAGTGAGTGCCAACAGCATTGTAAGTAAGAACAGCTGACAGGGTTTGAGCAGCTCCTGGTGAAAACTATATTGTTACTACAAGCAAAAATATTGTGGAAGAGCCACTTGTTACACTGGAGAGGAGTCCAGGGGAAGGGCGCTCATCTGGGGACCCCCAGCATCTCTCTTTCTGGCTGGCCATAAGGGAGAGTTTTCACTTTTCCTCTCGTTCCTTTTGGTTTTATTTCTTCCCCCAAACAACTTTCACCATTGGAGTTATTTTTAGTTACTGTACCCACTAATAAATCTTTGCACATGTGAACCTGTCTCAACATCCTTTGTGCAACTACCTGTTTCTCTTGAAGACTTGCAGATTTGCA